TGCGCCCCGTAGCCTTGGTGCAGGTGCAGCGGGGGCTCGCATCTGAACCGTGTCTTACGGTCCCTAGGAGCAAGACGTGCAGACGCAGCAGACTGACTGGGCACGCATGGGGTGGGGGCCGGTAGCCAGGTTGGGGATCATGTCGTGGCATATTCTCTTTCCCCGGTCACAGGGATAGGCGCCCCCAAACTGAGTTCACTCACATGCTCGCGGACACCCTGACTTCTCCAGGCCTGAGGACCCTCTGTCTACGTGGTGCCACACCAGAGTTAGAGCCAAAAGAGTGGCTACAGTCACCTAGAGGCTGGAGACACCTGGCCTGCACTAGAAACCTGGGAGTAGGGTGTGGAGAATGCACAACCCAGGGTCCTGAGCGCAAGAATGCTGGGGAGGAGAGGGCCAGGCTAAGGAGGGTTTCCCTCAATGGGTTTTCAAAACACGGGCATATCTGGGTCCCGACTGTGACCTTCCAAAACACTGAAGCTAAATCTCTAAAAATGTCATGGGAATTCACTGATAGTACCTAAACAAACTGAGACCCCTGAGCAGCCACATTGGCGTCTTCTGGGTTCTAAGGATGACCGGGTAGTGTGCAGGAACTGTATCAGCCTGTGAAGGCATTCAGGTGGGGGCCTGGTAGAAGAAGAGGCTGGGCATTGAGAATACCAGGTGAAGCCAAATAGGTCTGACTCAGGACCCAAGGCTTGAGGGCCATTGAGGACCCTGAAGCCTTGGAGTTAACAAAGTCTAGCCTCTATAGGGATGTGGTCCTGCACCGCCAGGCCCAGCGGCCAAGGCTATTATCAGTGCGACCTTGACGGGGCCCTTCCCGTTCTGTAAAGGCCCCTTCCCCTGGTTGGCCTGACCACACCCTTAAGTGCCCTAACCCTCCCAGCACCATAAGCCCCCCCCCCGGTGGCCATGGTGGAGGCCTGTGCTGTGGAACACATCAGAACCGTCTGGAAGTGTAGAGGGGCTAGGACTGTAGTCCAGGTACATCCACTTAGAAGGGCTTGGAGACCCAAAGACTTTGGGTTGCGTAAACAGGGCGGTTAGTGGTCTTGGTTAGTCTGGTTCCTCCTCCCTGTCGTGGGGCGCCCTCTGCCGGTACCTCTTATGTCATTCCCGAGTGGCATCAAGGTCCTTCCTGATAAAGACCCAGCAGGGAACCACTACTTATCCTGAACTCGCCAAGCAAGCCTACTCCTCTGCCTGGGTCTCCAGGAAGAGTCTGGAGACGCGAATTGGCTTCCTTGGGCCCTGTTGCTGAATCCTTTTTCCAGGAGCCCAGATGCGCCTGCCTATAGCTCGGCAAGGGTGAGGACCTCTGCCCAAATTTCAGAGACAGAGTGGGGGCGGGCATATCCTGAACCCCTACACTTCAACAATTGCGGGCAAGGATGTTTCCTTAATAGGGCAGCCGGCCATCCACACAAGGTGTGTCCTCTAATAATGTTGGGGACAGAGGACTTATCCTTGCCAAGCAGGGCTACTCCAGGGTCTGGGGGTGGGGGTGGGGGATGAGCCAGGCGATAAAAATGTAGAGAAAAGGAGAAGGAACTGGAAAGACACACAGCCAAGGTAGTCCTGGGAAATGGCCCTGGGCTGGACCCTGAAAGGTATAAGCCGCTGAGGACTGGGGGGGGGGGGGGGGGGGGGGAGGACAGGAGCCTTTAAGAGAGAGGAAGAACAAACAAACAAAAAAAAAAGGCAGAAAAACAAGCCCAGAATGCCACTAACAGATGCCACCAAAATGGGAATTCTGCAATAACAACTCCAGGTCAGAAGTCCTGGAGTGCCAGACTCAACCTGCCTAGCACTCTGAGTGCAAAAAAGCCCTCCAGACAACCTCAGGGTCTTCCCTCCTTAGAAAGGCCACCCCAGAGCTTCTGTGCTGCTCTTGAGAGCCACCTGCTTCAGGAACATGGCATTACTGCAGATGCAAAGTGGACAAACTCAGAAACCATGCTCACAGCGCCATTCATCCTTCTTCTAAACACAGACTCAGAGTCCCCACCCAATTCAGTCACACTCAGACTTGGGCTAGGGTGAGGAAATATGCTAATAAAAAGTAAAACAAATCAGAGCATGGTGGCACACGCCTTTAATTCGATCATTCAGGAGGCAGAGACAGGAAGATCTCTGAGTTCAAGGCTATCCTGGTCTACAGAGTTCCAGATCAGCCAGGATTACACAGATAAACCCTGTCTCAAAAACAAAGAAAAACAGTGTAGTACCCCTTCATGGCTGCTCCTTTTACTCTGAGGTCCCTCACCTTATTTATCTGTTTTCTCAGCTCCTCTCTCCTGTCCACACTCAGACACAGAGAACTCCACAGTGTAACTGTTCCATCCTTCTTTCTCTGGTGCTTGTCCAGGTATACCTTACAACTAACTGCAATACCTGCCCTATCACCAAATCCTCCTGGCTCTTTTTTTTCTTTTCATTTACTTGTCTCTTTTGGGGGGTGCCTTTTTTGAGACAGGGTCTCTCTACATAGCCCTGATGGTCCTATAACTGTGTAGACCAAGCTGGTGTGGTGATATTTTATGATCTAACAAACAACACTTGCCTGAAAATCAGAATGCAAAGCTAGTCATACTAGTTAACCATAGAGGGAGGAGTGGTGGCACACACTTTTGTTTTGTTTTTCGAGATAGGGTTTATCTGTAGCTTTGGAGGCTGTCCTGGAACTCGCTCTGTAGACCAGGCTGGCCTCAAACTACAGAGATCCTTCTGCCTCTGCCTCCCGAGTGCTGGGACTAAAGGCTTGCACCACCACCACCCGGCCTGGTGGCACACACCTTCAATCCCAGAAGCCACACTAGTTAACCACAGAGGACAGGCAGCGGTGGTACACACTTTTAATCCCAGCACTTGGGAGACAAAGGCACACAGATCTCTGTTACTTCAAGGCGACTCTGGGCTACATGAAATTGATCCTGTCTGAAAGAGAAACAGCTCACACAAGGTGATCCCAGCACTTGGAGTGACATGCGTTTAATCCCAGCAGTAAGGAGGTGGAGACAGGAAGGTTTATGGCTGGGCAGAGAAAGGTCTATAAAGTGGGAGGAGACAGGAGCTAAGGGCACTCTGAAGCAAGCAGCCTGAGGAGCAGTGCAGTCTGAGGACAGGATCTCCCCTTTGGTCTGAGCATTGGTAGAGATAAGAACTCTCTAGTGGCTGGCTGCTTTGCTTCTCTGAGCTTTCAGCTTTCATCCCCTGATAGCTGACTCTGAGTTTTTATTATTAAGACCAAAGAGAATTCGTGTTACAAGCTGGCCTTGAACTCAGAGCCCTGCCTTCCTCTCCCTCTTGAGTGCCTGGTTTAAAGGTATGTGTCACTATGCCCCACTTCTGTTTTCAAATACATCTGGAATCCAACCACTTCTCATGCTGCCACTGCCAGTTCTCCATCCATGGTGGGTGCAACCACATCCCCAAGGGCCCATACTGTCTTCCAGAGTCATCTAGTATCTCTAGCAACCATAAGTACCCTGTTCACACAGACCTAGATTCTGCTGGCTCAAAGCCTGGTAAGGCCAGAGAGAGACCTCAGTGGGTAAAAGTGCCTGCCAATGAATTCAATGCCTGGAACCCAGAGTGGAAGACAGCTATCTCCCCAACTGTCTTCTGTGTACACACACACACACACACACACACACACACACACACACCACTCACACACACAATTTTAAAGACCTCAAATCTCCAAGGAACCTCACCTGCCAAGCTTCCTTCTCCAACTTCCTGCAGCCCCCAGGCTCCTGCAGGATGGGCTGGAACATGCCTACTGACCTCCAGACCCCTCTATCCTACTTTCCTAGCTGATACCCCTACTTTTTTTTTCCATAGGCATGTCCCAAAGAGGACCCTATACACCATACTTTCTTGGCTATTTGTATCTAGGGCTAGTAATATCCATAAAGCACAGGACAGTTAATCTTGAATTTAGGGTAAACAATACTTTTAGTCTACGTATATCCCATGAACAGTATATAAAGGGTACTAAAGTGTTTCTGTATTCAAATGCTAAATCTGGCATTCTACACCTAGAACAAAACTTGTGTAACACACTTCTGGTCTCTCCTGCAACTGAGGAATGGCCAGCAGTGAGACCAACCAATGGGACAGGAGTATATTTCTACCTCCTTTGCTCAGGGAGACCCCAGAACAGAAACCTGGTGCAGCACACCAGGACTGTGGTCTCAGCACTCCTCTAACACTCTTCATGGAGGGGTGAGGCTTTAGCTCTTTGTGGGGCATGGTGCTAATCAAGGAACCAATGCCCCAGATAGGCCAGTACTGTGCCTTGGGTGAGGCAGTCACTCGACCTCAGCCCTGCTGTGCTTCTGGCTGAAGGTGTTTCCAACAGTGTGAGTACATGCTCTTGATAAGGAAAAAAAAAAGCTTTAATTTTACTTGCACAAAGTTTCCAATAAAAGTAGAAAGCTGTCCTCCCTTTGCTGGAGGTTTGCCTGCTGGGCATTTAGCCCACATGTGCAGATGTAATGGGGCCACTAACTCCCACACGGATGTCCTTGTTACCCAGGGGCCAAGCTTGGGTCTGCAGATGGAACCATCCAGCTCACCCTCCTGAAAAGGACGTTTACCCATTGCCTGTTGCCCACTTGCTGCTTCCTTCTCCAAAAGCCCCAGGTTAGGGTCCCCGAGCTCAGCTTCCACAGAGCCATGCCCAACCCTGTACAGAGAGGCCTTGGGGAACTCAGAGTGGGAAGGCCATTATCAAAATCCCCTGGCCTCCAAACTAGGGCAGGCTGGATGGGGCAGGTCTGAGAAGACTAATTCACTGCAGTGTGGGTGCCCGTAGGGCCAAGTGTTTGGATGTACAGGCAAGTGTACCTCATCACGGGTGCTGCTGTGGGACGGACAGTGCCAAACAGGACCCTACCACCTGTGACAGAGAAACCAAGACCCAGAGAGGGTTACAACAGGGCAACAACATGGGTGGTGGCTCTCTGATGGCCAGAGCAGGGACACAGGACACAGGCATGCTAGCAGACATTTATTGACAGGGAACATCACTGGCCAAGATCTTCAGCGTCCAGCTGGCCAGCAGGCACACAGAGCCCGGCGCTCAGCCTGCAGCAGAAGGGTCTCCGTCTGCAAAGGAACCAGAACCATGAAGATGGGACAAGAGTTCTCAATGGACACCTTCCCAGGCCTTCCTGGCTTCTTCACTTTCACCCAAGTACCCTTCTGGGACTTCCAGGCCTCCTCACCTTGCCCCTTAGGTGCCTTATCACCCCATTCCCTCCTGAGGAGCTCCCATTGCTGGGGTCCCTCCTTACACCCATCCCCACTGCAGCCATTTTTCAACTCATACCCATCACTGAAAGCCCCTTCATCATGCACTCCCACTCCCTGGTCCACTGGGGAGTGGGGAGAGACATCAGTGTTGGGAGTGTCCTCCCCGATATCCCAAAAGGGCTGGGTCCAGTAAGGGTCTTTCCTTCCTCCTACTACCAGGAATTCTCTTTACAAAGGTCAACTTCCCAGGGTTGGAGAGATACAAGTTCACCCAACCTGTGAAGACCTAAGGCTCCAGGACACACAGGCAGATCTCTGGTCCTAAAACCTTTCCACTCTTCACACACCATAGCCTCGGTCCTCAGTCTCTTCTTCCTACTCTGAACTCATCTCTCACGGAAAATCCTAGTTTAGTACTACACATCCGTGAGTACACTACCACAAGTCACAGAGCCAAGTGGCCTGAGGCCTTGGCGGAGGCACAGTGCGCTGGGCATGGGGGGCGTTTTCAGGAGAGATCTGGTCCCAGACGGCTAAGTGGCTAGATCTTGGGATGCTTACAGACCAAACCCACACCTCCCTGGCCTTGTGTACTCACCCGCGCGTCCAGGCTGTAGGCCGTTTTCCGTAGGTCCTGAAGGGCGCGCTGCATGAATTCAAATGCGTGGCAGTCCACACACGGACGGCCTGCGGGGACGGGGATCGGTGTCAGGGAAGGGTGAAAAAACCACA